CCTCCCCCCCAGACATCTGTATGCCCCCGGCCAGCCCTCCTGGTCTGACAATGTTATTGTGTCAGGTGCTGTTTGGATCAAACCTCCGAAGGGCCTGAACCTTACAGGAACCTTATGGGCACGTTATGGGCACCCAAACGGCCTGCTGACTCCCCAGGCAGTGCCACTCATTATCACAATAAAGTAGGCAGCTTATAAAAAGATAACACCTTTGCTCAAATTTAGCTCATTTAGCTCTGTGTTTCACCATGTTTTGTAAACAACAAGATTGCCATGCAAAATGACAGGACAGCATTACAGGGAGGCACAGCGATGCAATGACCCCCACCACCCCACCTGACAATACCCAGTGAGCCCACCATAACACCCATATGGAGACACAGCTTCCTGATATCATCACATGGTTTATGAAAAGTCCTCTGGTCCACTGGACCCACATATTGGCTCCTCTCTTGAACGTTCCCTGCCACAGCAGCCATACCGCCCCTCAGGAAGAAGTGCCCACCTACACAGCACTGCACTCCCAGCAGTAAGTGAGACAGAGCAAGCAAGAGACAGCAAGGGAGTGCAGGAGAGAGCTAAAGAGAGTCTGTGGTGCCCAGGCCTCTGGCTATGGACAGCGCCCCCCCCTCCCGGCACACCTAAACTATTCCAAAAATGTGTTTCCGAGCAGTGAGAGAACTCCCTGCTGTCATAGGGACACACACGATCCACACCCCCATGCACTGTCTGCCTACTCCCCCCCTTCAGGAACTTCAACATCTGCTTCCTGAGCAGACAGGCTGTTTCTAGATCTTTCTACCACAAGCGAGATGTTAAGCTGACAGCTATGAAATGTAGCTATGGCCCCGAAAATCAGTCATCACAAACCTTGCCCCTGATTTTAGTCTTTTATTCTGAGTTAAAAAAACTGACTTAAAAAAAAATAAAATGTGTGTTATTTGATCTAAATCTTGCTTTTCGGGCTGCATGCTCGGAGTGCCTTGTGGACGTTGGGCAGCTCTAAAATGACTGGCATTCCCCCCTCGTAAAAATCGAAGCACGTGTTACGTCATGTCTAGCATTTCAGAGACCTTGGCCATGATGTCACAGTCTTGTCTCTTCCTTATCAGTGTAACTGACATGATAAATGACCAGAATGAAGAGGGTTCCACACCTATATTATCCTCAGATGACATCACCGATTCCCATAGATGTGGGGGACCCTTAAATAAGTGACCTTTAACTCGAGTTATGACTCCAGTTGAGGTAATGATGTCTTTAGATATCTACAGGTTATTTTCAGATGAAACTTGGTTCATTACTTCAGACATGTAAACTGACCCCAAACCCTGCTTACCTACCAAACCTACTGCCCACACACATATATCCCCCTGCTTCCCACTCAGCAGGCACCAGCTAAACCCTCACATTATTTTCCCCTAGCTCTCTTTTCTGACTTCCGGGAGGGTCAGAGCAAGCCCCGTTAATTCCCTGCACATGTGAACTTGCAGCAGACTTGCAAAGAGCAAGTCCGAGTGTCCAACTGTCCGAGTAGAATTATTACTGGCTGCATATAAAATATTTCCACTGAAAACGACTCCTTTGCAGAGTCCAGGGGAGATTTCAGGAATCGGCACAAAGGTGCAGTGTCTGTCAGTGTCTCCAGGGTCCCACCGGGCTATGAGTGTGACACAATCAATGTATAAATGCCTGCATATCCAGTTTCACCCAGGGAGGTCACTTTCCTCTCATGTGGGGGGGGCACTCCCCAGACTATGACCCCTGCTGGAGATTGGGGAGTAATGCCTCGTATATATTACCATACTATTTACATTTTATTTAGCAGATGCTTTTATCCAAAGTCACATACATTTCAGGAAGCAGGGTACTGATAGTTCCGGCAGCAATTGAGGGCCCAACAGTGACATCACTCTGGGATTTGAACCAAAAACCTTCCGATCACAGTTCACTGTATTTCAAGTTTGTATTTCAAAGCAGCCATGGCATAGGGCTGCCCGTCTCAGTCCTCAGCCTTACCTGCTGGCAGGTCGTCACCATGCTGGTGGAAGTTCTCGTAGGAGTCCCAACGGATCAGCGGGTCCTGGGAGTTGTAGTCCACTGAGACGCTTGGTCCGTTCTCCAGGTGCTCCATACCTGATTATCACATATGCACACTGAGGACCACACTGACCAATTAACATTCAAATGGCGTTCTGTCTCCTGGGAGGTTACGAAACTTCTGAAGTTTCATGGAACTTTGTTGGGGATGACATAGGGACCACTGGTCATCGTATGACTTGCTAAAGCATCCTGTTGATCCCCGGTCCAAACTGGTGCCCCTCTAGACCTGTCCAAGGCCAAGTGTGACCTGACACAGGAAACTTTCCATAGGAGACTATCCACAGAGACTATCCACAGAGACACCAGCTGAGGCTCACCTTGGATTTTCTCTGGCCCCAGAGAGAAGACAAACTCCACTCTCCCACAGTCAGGGAATCGCTCATCTGTGAACAGGGAGAAACACAGGAGAAGACCACAGTGTTTCACACCCCACATTCTACATGTCAAACCACACTATTCCGACCTGTGGGGGTCACATGATTGCTATACACATTAAAGATACACCTCTGGCTTCCCATTCTGAATTTCATTAGAGCCAACAAGGTGCAATCAGGAGGGATTTTATCATTTTGGGTAGCTGGTTGTTTAATATGCTGTGGTCTGAACATTATACATGCCCAATACCACATGCAGTCTGTGTGCTTCTACAGGGACTCCCCCAGTGAAGTCTACCTCTGCAGGACTCATCCAGCTCCTCCTTGGTGAAGACCACATCCAGGTCATGGATGGCACAAGTGTGGAACTGGACCCGGAAGATCACGTCTCTGGCAGGGCCTTGGAACCCTTTGTGGTAGCACTTCAGCTGCCAAAAATCGATGGGGAATTCATCAGGAAAAAAACACCTACCGAGTATTGCTGACCTTCAGGTCTATGGTGGGAGGCTGCCATTCCAGGTCAATGCTGGGCAGCTATATAAAATCACAGCATCATTCTTAGCTTTATGCTGGTAAATGGCTATCATCAGACACTCACATGCCTACAGAAAACTGGGCCACCAAAGGGCAGTTTACTGAATTTAAGAGGTGTTCACATCAATCACTGTAAACCTCACTCTAGAGCAAAGAGATGAATGATTAGAAGCCCATCGATAGTCAGAATGGTGACCAGCATTGCTCCCAGTCAGTGTCACAACCTGTCTCTCTTTTCATGTAGCTATATAACTGCATCGTCTGTCCGCCCTTACCGAGCTGCCTTATCTGACACACTGCCATCCATGCCAAGGCCCATCCTGAAGCCATTAAGGTCTGCACAGGAAATTCCTGCCTTCCTGCCTGGCCAGTCACACTTTAATATGGTGCTTTCTTCATACCAGCCTCATTTTCAGTGCTACACTAAGGTCTGGTCCCATAATCCACACTAGATACAAATATGAGGTTTTCTCATGATCCTGAAGTTCACCCCAGGCTATGCAAAGCTGGTTACCTTATTGGTGAACAATGCATGCTGTTTGTTACAGTCATCATATCTCTCTGGTTTTTTGCTGCCTTTTTAAACCAGACGCACTCTGCATAACAAGCACATGCTACAGGAACAGCACAGAAGAATAACTGTTGAAGTAGCTGGATCTTTCACCAATATTTCAATACAGGGTCAGCCCAAATTACTCTGAGCAGGAAGGAAACAGAGAGAACAAGCACCTTGTGGTTTCTACTCAGCAGGAACATGGAGAAGTTCCTTAAGGAGGAGGAGCTTATTTGTGGGGGAAGAGTTAATGAGGCAGAAGCCGCTATAGGTTAGTCAACCGTGCATGATGAAACTCCACTACTTGGTCTAGCTAGGAAAAGATGTTCTACAGATTTGCCAGTTGACTATATGTTACACATCTGGGTCAATACATTGGACCTGTAATGAAGTAATGAAGAATACCCCCCCCCCAAAGGTGCATTCTCTTTCACACACATAAAGGTGCCACTGAACACATGTTATGCCTCCACAGATCCTTCATCAAGCTCTTCTGCTGTCTTTGGCTGACTCTGTTGACTCTTCGTTAAGATTTGTGGAGCACCTGTGTTTCATGTTGAGTAGATGATCCACACCCCATTAGCAGAGGCACGCTGTACATGAGAGTAGTGTGTGGAGACCTGCGTCTTACCAGAATGTCTCCTTTGAGCATGAGCCCGGGCTCAATGGTGATGCAGATGCTGGTCTGGCTGTCACCCTGGACGTTGCTGCAGAGACCAGACAGGAAATATGTAGGAGTCACTCACAGGCATGCGAGAGCCATCATTACAGGTCAGTAGCCTCTCAGAAGCCAGCAGAACCACATATGACTGGTTCTTTTTGAATGGACAGAGGGGTGGACAGATCTGCAGTGCTTCAGGGTACCTGCTGGCATCAGATTCATACCCCACACATCAGGCAAGATAACTTACTGCCAAGACAATGATTTCAGTGTGCATAAACAGCTGAGTAAAAAGATATTACCTCAGCTGTGCCTGGATTTACACAAACACACGCACATTCACCATTCGCCGCTGAAGGTCTTCATTCCCTAAGAGATTTCTCAATGGATTGATGTCATTCAATGCCACTGAAGTGTAAGAGTCCGGTCATCAATTTTGCACGCTGAAGTAGCAAAATTCTTCTGTAACCAGACTCATTAATGCCTAATATTTGCAAAGTACTTTATTAGACAGGGGCCTCTACTTCAACAGTCTTGATGAGTGCTTTGGGAACATGAGGTTTTTAAACAGTAAAATGGCCATTGAGATTCTGTATATGGACAGTGGGGATTCAGTGTTTTGCAAATCATTGTGGATGCTCTGGAAACTGCTATGGTGTCCCCATTGTTCCCTGCACCCCAAGTGGGGGAAGACTGAACCAGCAAGGCTTTGGTCTTTCACACCTCATAACTTCATTTCTTGATTACCAACTACAGGTATATCACAGATAAAAAGAGTGAGCATCACTCTTACTATATGCCAGAGGTATAAATGGGTTGCATAGCTTGGTATATCTTCAGAAAAGGACGGCAACCTGGGAGGAACAGCAACACAAAGAGGTTAGTGTCCAATGTGAGGAAGAGCAAAAACCATCAAATGTTCAACAGAAGCCCGTCAGAATGTCTGCAAGGGCTGCACAGGGCATACATGCTCACCTCCTCTGGACTCAAAGTCAGGGATCCCATGCATGATGACATGATGTAGGAACAGTGGTTTGTTGTTGATCTTTATCCGTCCTGACAGCAGGCCACTGAAGTATTGCACGTACCTGGGCCAGACAGAAGGACAGAGGATATTATTTAAGCATGCCTTCACCATTGCTTGACTGCATACTCCTGGGTAACAGTACGTGGGACTCCACAGCATCTCTACCAACCCCTGCCTGCTGAAGCCTCATCGGGCCTCAATGAACATGTTGCATAAGCAGGACAGGGCCCCAGGCGCCAGAAAATCCCCCACACCCTGATTGAGCCATGATCCAAGACTTTTCCAGGGCTGCGATGGTGACAAGGCCTGACTAGAGACGTTGTTGTCCAAGCTGAGTTGCGCACAATGGAAACAATTTCATACTGAAGCACGTAAACGTGTTTTTACAGGGACTGTTAAAGCGGCCCTTTGGATACCAAACTGGCAATCACTGCCTTAACATCACACATGCTGCCCATAAGCACAACATGCTGCTGGGCACCAGCTTCTGGTTAATTATATCCCAGGCAGGAAATAGCAACGCTGAGGTTTAGCACTTTAGCTCGCTGCCAGATTCCTTTTAAAAAACCTTACGTGCAACTCGTTTAAACGAGAAGGGGTGGGGGTGTTTTGCAAAGCCAAGGGGCGTCAGCATGGACACCAGAATGGGGTGATGATGGGGAGCAGCCTCAAGGCACAGCTGTGAACGGCAAAAGGGGTCTGATGACCCGCAGCTCAGCCCTTTAGAAGAAGATCTCCGTCTGGGTCCTGTGAGCCCGTGTGGAGTTACAGGCAAGGACACGCTGTTTCAGTAACAGCAGAATTAGCTTCTGTGTGTGGAAGATCATGTGAAAAGGGTAATACAGTATGAGAAAAGGGATTAGATATCAACACCTACTAACCCTATGATATAGAACTCTCCGTGTAGATGACAGGAAGCAGCCCCCTTCTAATGGGACCAAAGGTTTCATTTTCAAAGATAACAGCTCTTTTCAATTTCAGCAATTAGGCCTCATTGAGAGATAAGTGATCCCCTGGAATGTACCAGCAGAAGGAGAAATTAGACGACATTAGGACAAGTTAAAAGCTATGAGACTTTAGGAAGCATTAGGAAAAGTTTGGAACATTAGGATAAGTTATTAGAAATGCCACACTTCTTCCCTTAGAGAAAACTCATAAGAAAACAGAATCAGTCTGTGAAAGCAACAGGGAGTGTGGAGGAACTGACCTTTGTTGGGAGGATTAGGGTTAGGAGACTTTAGGAGGAAGTGAAGAGAGACTGACCTCAGCAGGGAGGGTTAGGGTTAGGATACCTGAGGAGGAAGTGTGGAGAGACTGACCTCTGCTGGGACGGCTGACCCACAGGAAGGACCTTATCTTCATAAAAGTGCTTCATGGCGAATCTGTCCAAGGCCTGATCTGCACTGCTTTCCAGAAGAAACGCCTTTTAGTTCCCTATCACACTGCCTTGTTTTTAACAGTGTCAAAGTCACATAAACCTGTATCCATCTTTCTATCAGTCACTTTATAGTCATCCAGCAACATTCAACTTTACAATGGGCTTTTTAAATCTATAGTAATGATCACAGAATGACCAGCACACTGCTGTACAGTTTGAATTAGCTCCTTCAATCCACAGTGTAGGATCGATTGGGCTCCTCTGGGCTGACAGCCAGCATTTAGGGAACATGACCAATTGCTCTCCACCTACTAATGATTTATTGACTTACTTCAGAGAATCATCAGCTTCTGGCCAAACAAACAAAAGGACGTTGGATAAAGTGGTGGTGCAGCCTCACCTAGCTGATATGTTGCTGTAATGCATGTAGGCAGCGACCACCACCCCTGTTCGTCCGCGGTTGCCCTGCGGACAAAGCAAGAGCTCATTGGGGACCATTGGGGTCCAAATCCTCTGGCTGGCAGAGCAATTAAGCCCCTTGAGCAAGACCCCTAAATTCAAGAGGGAGCTGCATGCTGCTGACCCCAAGATTTCTTCACAAAAGTTTCCATTAAATAAATACATTTAATGAATAGGAGGATCTGTTACATGCACACTACAATGATGTCTTTCAATAGCATGTGGAACGATATAAAAACATGTAAAGTACATTTATTCCAACATGCAAGTATCAATGCTCTCTAACTACCCCTTTCTATATTAATTTACTATGTTGACAGTGTGTTTACCATCATACCCTAAGCATTGATTAGCATGCAGAGAATCACACAGCGACTGGACTTAATGGATACAGCTCCTGTAACTTCATGTAGCTAAAACTCCAGCGTCGCTCTACATTTAGCCCTTTAGCTTGCTAAGTCACACTGTCTCAGTCAGATGTTATTTTGCAATTATTGGCAGAATTCCTGCTATTAACACTATCAACAGACCAGTACCCGGAGAAAATGTTCTCTGGTGACACACTGTCTCCGTGTACACAAACTTTAAGATAGTAACCATGATGACAAGATCTCGTGGCTGTGTCTTCAGATCCATGAGTCACTCTGAAGCCTTTCAGATAGAGAAGCAATGAAACGGTGAAGCTGATGCCTCAAAATAGACTCAAGAGCACCATCTACTGTCCAGTATTGTGTATGGGCATGAGCTGAGGTATCACCAAGTAATGCCATTCACAGACAGTCTTAGGGAAAAAACAGGAAATATTGAATAACTACAAACAGGTACCTTTAGCCTTAAGCATGATCTACTCCACACCATGGGACTTATTATTAGTGACAAGGGTGACAGGTGCATGCTGTGAGGGTGGGCTCCTTGCCTTGTTGTGTAGCACCACCACATTGTGGGGGTCTGCTTTGAGCCAGGTGTCCATAGCCTTGCAGATGGTACAAATCTTGTCTAGGGTTGGTGCGTGGTGGTCAGGCCAGCCAAAGTCTAACACCTAGAGGGGCAGATGGCAGTGTGCAAGTTACAGTTTTGCATTCATGATTAAAAGTTGGAAATCAGTAGAGAACAGTTAGGGCCACTTCTGGACCACTGTCAGCACAACTCACCTTTGGGTTCAGCTTAGTCAGGTCATGCCTCTTCTCACTGAGGTTGATGACCTGCAAGCCAGATGAGCACGTTCAAGTCACAGAGCAGGGTGTGGTCTCACCACGACAGATGCTGCTGATTCAAAAGTGGACTAAGAATGATTAGTCAGATGCAGTGGAAAACGAGAGGAGCTGGAGTCCCTGGAAGGATGCTTGAGGGAGAAGAGGCAAAGCATTAACCACAGATATTATACACAGACATGCTGAACGAGACTGGAACCAGGGTAGAGTCAGTGTGGAGCCTGGCTGGAGCCAGTCTGCATTACCAGGTAATGAGCCCCATGCTTGGACTTCAACATGGTGGCCACCTCCTTGAGGTGAGCACTGTGGCTGTGTTCCTCAGCACTGGCAGGAAACGCTACCACGATGATGCTCTCAGTGATATAGAGAAGGTCCACGTCATAGTTCTCCTCTCCCTGGATCAGGCTCAGCGTCCTGTAGAGGACATACAGATAGGTAGATATGTACGTGTAGCTTGATCATGAAGTCCTTTTCTCAAGGATCACTGTAGTAGAAAAGCAGAGAGAGTCTGAGAATGATCTGCTGTCATACACATGGCTGATGCATATCCATAGTACCCCATGGAGTATATGCCTTAAAGCTCATTGGTGTAAAATAAACTTGGTCCACTAAATGATGTGACAGCAATAAGTCACTATGGGTTCATCTCTTTGTTCTTTCATGTATAGGACTGTAAACTGCAATAAAAGTATCATTTGACAAAATTTAAAGACCCAGTTTATATGCAATACAGCAAACAGAGTCTCAGTAAGACAGTCTGTTTGAAGGAACCACTAGGACGTGCAGGAAGCTGCTCAAATAAAAGTGTGAGGTCTTTACAATAAACGAGTGCGACGGCATCAAAAAGCTCTTTGCTATTGTTTTACTAAGTAAAACACTTCCCAAGAAACATCCCACAAACAGCCAAAGTGATTCCGAGTCCAACTGAAACAAAAGCGCAGTGTAGCTTTAGTCCAGGAGATCCTGGGATCAGAAAGGATCTTTGTAGGCCTCTGTTCCTGGTGAGTAGGCTTCCTTGGGAGCTGCTATCTGCATCTTGCATGACAACAAACCCCAGTAAATACCTGAAGTGTCTGAACAATGAGCAGTGCTGTTTAACAGCGCTGCACTCATACATCATATCTGATGGGAAGGCGTGGTGAAAGATGCTTTCTCTCAGATGCCACATAATATATGACTGCGGATCTTGTGTGCTAAACATCCCCAGCCAGTATGTGAACATTGTGTGCTTGATGTTAGGTTAGCAAACGAAGAGAGAACATGTCCGACTGGGAGTGGTAAATAGCCTTCCAGAGGCTGTTTACCATGGGAATGACCAATCAGCACTTGGAATGCAGCTCTGGCCAAACCCCTAATCATGTCTGCTGATGCATCCCTCACTTTGTGCTTTTGGTGCTTAGAGAAGCCATCTGGTTAGTGGCATGGCACTGAAAACACACAATGTGTCTAATGTAAAGCAGATCAAAGCCTCATTTAGCAGAGACTGAAGCACTGACATGTCCACCAGGTCAACATGTCCTGCATTCCCTACCTCCCCGTGAAATCCAAGAATGAGGGTTAGCGTCAGCTACAGATGACCAAAAGACCATTAATACATGAGTCATGGATTGGCAGCCGTTCATACCGTGAGGGCTTGAGTCTTGACTCGGTGGAGGACTTGATTGAACTCTGCAAACAGATTTGAGGCATTTCAATGAATGGTACAGAATCAAAGGAAATCTCTCATGGATGCCCAAAGTAGGGACCACAAGAACCCCAGAGGCAACCCAGAGGAACCCCAGAGGAAGCCCTGAGAAAATCCTGAGGAGACCCTGAGGAAACCTTGAGGAACCCCAGAGGAAGCCCTGAGAAAATCCTGAGGAGACCCTGAGGAAACCCAGAGGAAGCCCACAGAAAACCTTGAGAAAGCCCAGAGAAAACCTTGAAGAACCACTGAGGAAGCCCTGAGGAAACAAAATGTGGCCAAGAGCAGGCTCCTCATTGCTGAACTCTGCACAGCGCCAATTTATTTTAACAGTCGTTTCCATGTGCCCCTGCTTCCATACATAGACCCAATAGATAAATTAGAGATGCAGTCGTTCTGTGCTTCAACACACAGAAGCCACATTAACATTCATTTGCGGTGTTACAGCAAGCAGATGGGCTTGGCTGGGAATAGTAGTGTATCTTCCATGACTAACCAGTAACTGGCTAAAACTGTGCTGTAAATTCCTGTAACTTAATTGTAATTTGAGCAGATGTCACTGAATCTATAATAGTGAAAAACACATGCAGTTATTTACACAGTTAACATGTTGTAAACACAGACATGATGGCTTAAATAAAAATTATTAGACATAGACATTACATTAGATATTAACAATTACCGAAGTAAATTCCATCTAAAATGCCATAGACCTGGCACAAAAGCACCCAGACATGGACCCTCAAACCCCCACCCCAGAAGAAGACTGGTGGGGAAGCGGCTTGCAACACAGCTGTGAGCAATAAATGAACCTGAGGTTTGAGTGTATAAAGAGAAGAACAGTGCATGAGTCTCACAAAGACCTCCCTGGACCACACCTCTCCCTCAACAGGTGCTTCTCAACCTTCACTTGATACCATCCAACACTCTATAGACACAAACTTCAATCATCTTACAAACCAAACTTCTTTTGAACAGTACCTCCTGCAGGTACTCCTGTCCCATGTCCTGGACCCTAACTTCTGCAGGTACTCCTATCCCGTGTCCTGGACCCTACCTTCAGCAGATACTGCCCTCCCCATCTCCAGGCCCTCCTGATAGAGGAGAAGTCACTTGGCAGGGAACTTCTGGAGCTGACTGCAGAGACCTGGTGATCTCTGCTGTTGTTCATTCTTATCTCGAAAGTCCCTTAACTCTCTAAATAACCAGAGCTTTCAGACTGAAGCTGCTTCCTGGTTGCCACATCCCTGGCATGTAATGCTTGGCCTTTCTGCTCCCCCCCGCCCCCCACCTTTCACTCCTCCCTCCATCTCATGCACTCCCCTCCCTCTTTAACCCTGACACGGCGGCGGTCTTGGCAGGCTCCCCCGACAATCTGTTCAGCATTACAGGCCTCGCTGAAGCCCTCCGCAGCCAGCTATTTAAAGCCTCTCTCCATCAACGTGAGTTTTCAGGCAGCGCTAGAGCTTTTCTCAGATAACACACTGGAAGAAGACCTCAGTGCCATTGGTGTTGAGAGCTCAGGTCATCTGGATGAGGCTGCTATCATTACTCCACAGCATGGGCGTCGCTAGGCCATTTTTAGGGGGGTTTTAGCCCCCCTAACATTTGTACTCAGCCCCCCTAAAAATTCTCCATAAACTTTACACAAATTGGTGATCGGCCACGTCCCCTTTAAATTTCATATGAAAACAGCGGCAGACTTCGGCTCCGCAACGTCTTTCAGCGCGGTCTTCAACTGAAGCATCACAGACTGCGGCATCACAGAGCGAGGATTAAGCCAAGGTGTGTGTTTTTCGATAAATTGTTATATCTGCATCAGTGCAGTCCTTTTTCATAAATACAGTTTACAAAAAATGTCAAAATTTTCACTGTTTTACATCATCACACCAGCTGTTTCATCTAGCGAAAAGGAAGCCCTTAATACATACCCTATTAACCTATAGTCTACTTTATAAAACAATGATGCTGTTTTAATTGGAAAAACTAACTGTCTATATAAAACATTACACAGTGCATGGCATTAACTGCCATAGAGTTATGCACATAAATGATTAAAAATAGTGACAGACAGCATTCAATGCACTCGTTTTAACTGCATAGCAGTGTGATTTACAGAGATAGAAAAATCCTGTTTTTTTTGTAATAAATATTGTATTAAATAATGTCCCAGATCGTGAAAAACATTTATTAGCCTTTTTTTGTCACTTTGATTTAGAAAAAGTTACTTTTTTAATGAATAGAAACAAAAAAAGACATATAAAACTTTAAATTACATTAAAACAATGTTTGTCTATATTAATGAATTAGAATAAATAGCCTAGTAGATATAAAGTTTTAAGGGGTTGAATGTAGAACCTACTGTCTTATTTATGAGGAATCAGGAAGACTCATTTGAGTACTGATTCTGAACAAGCCAAATATGTGTTAAACATCTATGGGGGCTTAGCCCCCTTTAAATGAAAATCCTAGAAACGCCCCTGCTCCACAGCATGGACCAGCTTGAGGAATTGTGAGGGTCTTTCCTGCTCCTACACTGACTCCTACTTAGGGAAAAAGAAAACTCATCATCATCTTCATTTAAGTGCAGAGTGGTGAAAGGACATGATGTTTGTTTGGAAGACAACCTATAGCATCTACAGCAGGATTTTGTGGAAGATGATGGGAGCTTCTGATATAGAGTGGTCAAGGTGATTTCAGAAGTCGGGGAAAAATATCCTGGAAGGCTGAGTCTAAGGAAGGTAGAAGAAACGTAAAAATAAATAAAGTGAAAGAGCAGAACAGATCATGTGACTAAGGCCATCAGCGGGTGTGAAAACAGGTATGTTTTCCCAGACCCTGGACTGGAGGGGGCCCGAGGGACCCCCATTCAGCAGAAAGTACTGAGGAGGCCCAAGGTCACATTTTGATATGCCCCTGCATGTTATGGTCACTCTATGCTGACTATGAGATGTCAGAATGACCATAGTTTAACATCTGCAACACCCCTCAGCATCTGTGTCCGGCTACGCTGTATTGAAAGTTGCTTTGCCTGACCATAATGAGTCATTTGGTTATGTAAGAATCCTCCAAGCCCTAATTTCACACAGTATTCTCCTCTCTGGCCCACTAAAGGACTTACACAAACAGCATCATGACAAATAGAAGCGAAAGCATCATTGTGGTTCATCCCTATCTGCTGCTTTATAACCAAACACATCTGAAGACACTTGGATAGAGGGTGGGTAACATCCTCTGATATCCCCACACTTCACTGGCTCATCTTCACTATGCAAAACAAGCCTCATACTAAAGTGAAACCATACCTGTGGGAAAATAACTTATCACTTAAAATATTAATTTAGAATAAGGAAATAAAATAGCCACAAGATATAGATTAATCTCTAGTGTATGTGGGTAGTGAATACTCTTAGTGTTCAGTCCTGCAGATCACGGTGACAGACTGCTGAAGTCCACATACATTGTGAGCGCACTATGCTCAGTGTCTGCAGAGACCACTGGTTCGATGATGTGTACTCATCTGGAATTTCACATGACGTGCTACATTGACACGCTTAGTCATATGCAGCTGTGGTTGGGCAGGGACTAAAAATGGGGGGAGGGCACCCCACATCGCTGTACCAGGGCCGCACCCCCTCCTCAGAAAAAAGGAGTGAACTAGCTGAACTAGGGATTTGGGGTGGGTGAAGAGGAAAGTCTGATAATTCCAGATTAACAGTAAGGCAGCAGGATATAGAAAATCTCTCTCTCTCTCTTTCTCTCTCTCTCACACACACAGTGGAGGTTTAACAGTGACTCTCGAGCATAATAAAGGAATCCCAACCCTGCCCCAACAAAAATCAATAACAAGCAAATCCTTTTGTCATAGCAAATGTGCAGACACACACACACACATCTGTGTTTGTATTCATATTTTTGTGGGAACCATTCATTCATTTCTAAGGGAAAAACTCTAATCCCAACAAGAACAACCTTAACCCGTACCCAGCCCTAACCCTAACCATAAGTAAAGAAACAAAATATAAGTCTTTTGGCAGTTTTAGTTTTTTGATCACAGTCACAGATTTTCTCCTTGTAGGGACTGAAAAAATGGCTCCCACATCAAAATAACTGTTTTTTTTATCATATTGTCCAAACAGCATACTGAATCAGCTGATGGTTATATATCTCCAGGTTATAAAAGCTGTTTTAAGTTGTTCTGTCTTAAGGCTTTTAATAAGCTACGGGCCAGGAAAATACTAAATACTGGAGTAGACACTAAATTCTCAAAATAACTCAAACCATGTCATGTCATAAATGTTCTGTTCAGAGAATTAAAAAACAGCCCAGAATCAAGAGAAAAAATATTTAGAACACAAAAATCTTCTAGAATAATGTTCAGCAAGCAAAACAAAGGTAACAAGTGCTTACCATAGTTTCGGCATGTCTCAGGGAAATGTGGTGACCTGCAAGCTGGAGAGAGGAGAAGAGGAAAGAGCAAAGGTGAGACAGACAAGTGCTCATCCATGCAAAGATGAAGACAGCAAGAGCACAACACCACCTACTGGGGCACAGAAGGCAAAGCAGCTTCAGGTTACTATGTCAAAACCAAGGAATGCTGAAATACATTTCATAAAGCACAACCCTGGACTTGGTTATGAACGTCCCGGGCCTGACGTATGGTCAAACAGCAGGAGCATGCCAGGACCGTTAGGGTGGCAGTGGCTATCAGCCTGCCCTGGAACACAGGGGGTGATTGTAGGGTTTACTCAGGAAGAAAGCATGTGCACATACACATGTACATGCACACAGAAAACCAGGGTCGAAAGGAGTCTTTTTCACAGATCTTTGCTCTCCAGTAACCCCCACCCTTTAATTTCTCCTCCACATAGAGAAAACACAACAAATCATTTCCTGAGCCATATCCTGTAGCAAGTACAGAAAAAGGCAGCACAGCATAGTGAGCAGCTGTGGGACTGGCACATAGCACATTAGAACTTAGCTTTGCGCGTTCTGGTGCGGGCTTGTTCCCTCTCAGGGTCACTGTCCTCCACAGGAAGGAAACAACATTTAGAGCAGCGGCTGATCATGGCTACAACTGGTAACAGGAGGAGCTGAGTCAAAGGAGTCCAGAAGAGGAGGTGGAGAACCTTTAAGAAAAGTTCCTGCATTTTCTGCAGTAAAATATCCAGCAGTTAAAATGGGTTAAAATTGTAAGCTGCCTGCAGCCACCGGCATACATGGCAAGCGCAGCATCCCATGCACTCAGAAGTTCCACTCATACCCTGCATTTTTCCATCAGTGAGAAACACCCCCTCTGCATCAGGCAAGGGGGTGCAATATGGGTGAGGCAAGAAGTGAGAGGGGCCTTATGCAATATTTCTGAAATGGAGAGAACCCCCCCTGCATATCTCAGCACACAGCCACCTACAGAAAGGACACCGACTTTAATGAGTGCATGAATCAATGCGTAAATCAGTGTGTTTTTAACGTGGGGGAAAGAACAGTGTTTAGATTCTCTTGCTTACACAGCAATCAAAATTCCACAAACCTTACACAAATGAACCACTTTTATCAGCCACCATGTGTTTCCTATTAAATTTATGAGTTTTTACTGGAAATTCGCCTCCTCGAATCTCTGTGGTATTTCTTTAAATGTATACTGTAAGTCTTGAATGTAACAGGAAGGGGGATATTCAGTATGGATATAGTAAAAGTCAGTTAAAGAGGTCAAAAAAGTGAAAGACAGGACACACGACCCCCTACAGGACGAAGGAGAGAGGTGCAGGTCAGGCAGAGAGAGACAAGATACACAGCCCCCTACAGGACAAAGGAGAGATGCACAGGGCTGACAGAGAGAGGCAGGGCACATGATCCCCTACAGGACAAAGGAGTGAGGTACAGGTCTGGCAGAGAGAGACAGGACACATGACATCCTACAGGACAATGGAGAGAGGTGTAGGTCTGGTAGAGAGAGACAGGACACACAAACCCCTACCGGACAAATGAGAGAGGCACAGGTCTGGCAGAACTCTGTATTTGAGCCTGCAGGCCAAACCATTCCTGCGAACCCCCTAAAAAGGGCATGTGACATGCTGCCTCAACCAGACCAGTCGCCTCTTCAAAACCAATTAAGGGCTGATTTACAGCTGGCCAATGAAGACCTCAGCAGGCTGGCTGTGGAACAGCCAATAAACAAGCTGCTTTGAATTGCAGGGCTGTTCAAACCACCTCAAGTCTGTTGCCTGAATCTTCCTGGCCAGTCCCCACTGAACAGACACTGGGAAGAGAAACACAGCTACAGTCCATCCATCTATCCCTTCTGGCTACATGGTGTGCCATTGGTGAAACTACATACTGCTACAAATTGTTTTGCGTGGTTGGAATAAATGAGATGAGGTGTTTATGGCATATCCATGCCTACGGACATGAGATAAAGATCACATACTTTCGAAAGTGATAATATCCAATGTGGTGATGGTGTACTTTAGCCCTGATTGTGTAAACCAGTGAAGCATGTGAAGCCAGAGACATCCATATTTACAGCAACACATGGACAGGACCCCAAACCCCATCTACATGTAGATATCAAGCACTAGGGCACCAGGAAAACCGACATGTACATATCAGGAACCTAGCTACCAGGAACACCTTCTACATGTAAACATAAGAAACCAAGCCACCAGTAACACAGTCTACACATTCTACACTAAGACATCAAGAACCATAGGGCACCATCTTCTGCAGGTTTCTGGAGCAGGAGATGAAGATTGGGGTCTCATGAATGAGTGGACATCCATTCTTTACCTTATAAAATGTGTGACGGTATTAACAACCATGTGTCTGTACCTTACCTGCCACATAAATATTGAATCATCATGATCCTAACTGAATAAGCATTAACAAAATGAATGAATGGAAGATGGAAGGATTGATGAAAGCAGTGTCTTCACAAAATAAAGAGCACAGAGATCATGAAACTCTGTGAGCTTCAGTGCTAGTCTAAGCTGAGCTTCTGCCAAGGACAACCTAAAGACTGTCAACTGCCACTGCTCTAACCCTTTGTTTATTATTCATGGAATCTCGGCAGTGCCTAATAATTAAGTTATAACAAACAACAGAACAGACCTTACATGTTCCTGGACATGAGCCACAGGAATCCATCTGAAGAAGGCAGCCTGGTCTGCTGACAGCCAGCAGCAGGGGGAGCAGCTTATTTTGGCAGATACAAACGTAAACATAAAAAGGTAATGAAAAAAGCCCGGAGAGTGGCCCCGCAAGATGCCGCAGCAAGCCCAAAAAGGCCGGGCCTCTCCCGTATGCATCACTTGAGTCCAGCAGGGATTGAAACCCCGCCCTCAGGATGGGCTGAGTAACTTTCCCAGGCGAGCTGTTCCCATTGCAAACATGTGTGGTGGCACGTGCTGCAGAGGAGAGACTTCCCAGAATGCTAAGTGAACGGGTGAGTGAGTGTACCATCTCAGCCCCTGTGTAACACTAGAACATGGTTAGAGGTTAAGCAGCAACGTTAGAAGTGACAGGATGAAAGTCTCTTACCAGCTCATAGTTAGCAGTCGGTACACAGGGTGCATTAACCTGCAAGGCAGAGGAATGAAATGGTCAGCTTTTTACTTGAATATCCACTCAGCAGCCACTTTTGGGTTCCTCCAGGTATCTCAGCTGAGAGCGCAACTGATTGAGTTATAATAACCAGGGGCTGGACTCGCAAAGTATTAATTAATACATGTTCATCCCCCAGAGTATTAATAATCACGTGCTGGTCCCCAGAGTATTAACAACCATGACTCAGTTCCCCAAAGTATTAATAACCACAAGCTGGTCCCCCAGAGTATTACTGGCCACGTGCTAGCCTCTCAAAGTATTAATGACCATGTGCTGTTCCCCCAGAGTATTAAGGATCATTTGCTGGTCTCCCATAGTATTAATTACCACCTGCTAGTCATGGATGTAAACATTGATTTGGGTTTGGCTAAAAGCAAAATAAATGCTCACCTAGTTGCCGGGGACACCAAGTAATCCATAATGTTCAAAGTCATTATCTTTGATAATGTTTGTTTTTGTGATAGTGCTTGTTTTTGGAGTCATCACCAGTCTGCTGATGTATCACATAAATTTCACATCCATGACCTCTCCTTGGGGAGCCGGCTGCAGGCCACAGGATTGCCCTCTGCAACCAGAGGGACTGGAGAGTTACTGCTGGTTTAAGCTAGTTTACATCCAACTTATGGTGATCCCGGTTTTCCAAAAACAGCATAAACGGATTAGTGCACCCACTGTTGCTGCTTGCTTTTGAAGCCAACATGGCCGAGGACTGTGCTGAATAAACAGGATAAAGGCAGATAATGATGGTCTCTGCAATCAGCACATCCAGATGAATCACTTCCTGAGGATCTGGGGACTGCCATGGCATTGTCATGAAGTTAATGTACTGAGCACGCAAGCCAGTGCATTTCCCCACAGGATCACTCCTGCTAGAACTTGGGATTTTACAGTCATTCTGTATTTTTAAATCTAACTTTCACCATTTAATGGGTTATAAAAATGCAAGTATACCAAATTTGTAGCATTTTTCCAGGTATCTGCTGTCATTCCTGACTGATGCCTAAGAAATATGAAAGTTCCAGAACAGGAAAGTTCAGTTCATTCTTTCATAATGAGCAATAATGAGCAAGGCTGTGTCTCTTATCTTTTCATGGGTGATTTAATTGGATGCGATGGAATTATGGGACTGATACCACAGATGCCAGCTTGGGCATCTGTGAAGATACTCCTGCTCATTGCTAACTGATAGGTGACTCAGTACTGACTCATGTCTTTACTGTTGTTGGTAATTTTGGGCATTTTCCTGAATGCACTTTCCCAAATGCATTTATAAAAAAATAAAAGTTCTTAGACTTAGACTGAACTCTGTTCAGGCCAATGAGGAATGGATGTCAAAAGCCCAGGAACCTTATATACCTGGTACCTTTGGTGGGATGATTCTGGAGTCTAATTTAGTTTGCACTTTCCTGAGAGCCTTAATTAAACTCTTGCTGCCACAAGGTGTGCTGCTATTTATTTCAAGTGCAACTGTAACATAATTTAATTAAGAGTTTTAGTATACAGTATCTATTTAATCTAACTAATGTTAGATTATCACGGTATCACGTTAAACAGCTGGGTGTCTTACTGAAGCAGTTAAGGACAAGTGAACCACAGCATTATGTGCTCACGTCAACAGTCTCTGCTTCACAGATCTGCTTCCTGTAGCTGTAAATTACTTTTCCTTCCTGGAGTCCATTTAAATATAAAACAAGATGGACTCAGAAGGGAAGCCTGGTGAGATCCACAAGCACTGTAGCCTTTCGAGTCCAACAGAATTCTGAGAAACATCTGAAGAACACCTAAAGAACACTTTTAAAATTCAGTATACCTGAAATAGTTTTCCTTCACATCATCCTCTGTTCCTTCTCATAAAGGAGGTGTTTTACTTAAAGTAATCATAAAGCTTGCCCCTGTATGTGCTACTTGTGTATGAGGCTCTCAGTTCAGACAGAAAAGTTCTACCATAAAAGGACTCCTGTTTCGGAGGGTCTTGTTCCAGAAGACAGAGTGGGGTTGGAATGAAGTCATGGGCTACCCCTCTTACCATGTTTATGCTCTTTCAAAGCATGTAAAATGTTCCTTTTCTCTCTGCCTCCCTTTCTTTTTAACAGACCAAGTTGTTTTCCCCAGACACAATAAAAGCTTTATCCACAGAAGTTCCAGAAGGGTAAATCAAGGCAAGCGCTGCTCAGGGCTGACTAACAATCTAAGACAAGAGGAAAGAACCACCGAAACGAGTCCCTACTGACAGAAGGATGCATGAACCACATCTGAGAAGCAGCCTCTCTGCTGGAACCCAAGTCAAACCAGGTTCAATACCCACTCTGGCACATCAGCTGTCCTAACAAGTTATTTTGTTGACTAAAGAAGCAGTCTATATGACAAAAAGGAAAAGTTTTCTGACAGCACACACATCGGGAAATGTGTCTATGTCCTGAGACTCCCAAGGAGGCAAGGACATCACACATCAAGGGGGATGATAGGAACAGTTGACATTTCAGAATGAGAACAGATGGAGAAAACTAGGTCCCTGGCAACCTGGAAAGGCTAGTACTGCTTTAGATGAAAACACACTGCCTGTCCAGAGAATACTCGAGGGACATATAGTCCTGCTTCAGGTGAACCTGTGAGATGGTGGATTCCCTCTAGTAAGTTCCCAAACCCGCTTTCACACCACCTGAACTCTTTTTCTGGAACCAGGGACATTGGGCATGTTCACACCACAGGAACTTGGCCCGAAAGTACTCCCTCAGAGACAGTTCCAGAACCCTTTTTTAGTACCTATCTAGAGTAGGTACTTTTCATTCGAACACGAACTATGGCAAGGTGCTTACAGTGATAATATGCTCATTTTTGACCACAAACACTGGAGCTAACTTGGAAGTTACACGGAACTGAGTAGCAGATGGATGGAATTATTTTTGTACCCCAATTACATTTAATGCTTAAATAATACATTTTTTGGTTGCATCTCTATATTTCCGCATCAGAAAATTCTATCTCTAATCAATATACTTCTGTCTAATATCATCAGAATAACGTTAAAACATTTAAATACTGTGGAATACAAAAGATCGATCTGCTAGCCAGATTTAAGAAGAATCATGAAGATGTTGCAGTCATATAAGTAAAATATAAATTGAAGGCTGTGTCCCATTTTGAATGTGATCAATCCCTCTAATAACTAACAAATAACTAACAAAACAACTTATTTACCCTCCATTGTTTTGGAGTAACGGTGTAGTTTTATACAAAATTATGTATGAAGTTTAACCTACAAACTTCTTGTGTCTCCCATGCTTAGCATAAAGGTGCAGTGTGAACTTGACACACAAAAGTGGCCAGGAGCTTCAAAAGTTCCAAGTCCAGACAACCCAGGAACTTGTGAACCGGGACCAGGTTCCCAAACTTAGGTGTGAAAGTCCCTAGTGGCACAGCCTTCATGCTCAGCTTGGATGTTTCTACTCTGGTGAACCTTTGAATCTTAGCTTACAACAAAGGCATCCACTGGTGTGGCACACAGGAATGAAAACAGAGTGTAAATCCAGAGTAAATATTTAGCATTTGATAAGCTTCACAGCGCTTCTCTGTTGGTAATTTGAATTTTGAGACAGATATATTGTTAGATGCCTGAAAATGTTTTCTCTCATACTTCAACGCAACAGAAACCATGTAAGCAATGAAGTGTGTTGTTGAGAGTCTGCTGGCAAAGAGCTTTATTTTAGCAAAAATAAACACAGAGAGCTGCCAGAGAGATGAAATTAATGCACCTAGTAGGACTGTGCTCCACAAGCAACGAAACCTCACGTGGCTGCCAGTGATGAGGACCCACTCATGCCTCCAGCCCATACCCCATCTCTCCAGCCCACCTCACACTGTTTCAGGCTAGGATGAATGGTTTCCTGGCTTTATTATGTCAGCCGATACATGAATCAGAGGTGAAAGCAAGCGAGCACCAAAGCAGGCCCCGTGTATCCCAAATATCCCACCAGGAAGGCAGGGCCTGATAAGACTGGGCCAGAACCCACATACTTCACATAGTGTTCGGGAGCCAGAGGATGGGCCGGGGGCCTCACACGTCCTGAGGCACCATGGCTAAGGAGAGGGCTCCCTAATGGGTCTCCCAGTCCAGGATCTTCAGGTGAAGTTCTACTGGGGGAGACAGATCACATCTACTGGCCAGAGACTAACTAAGCTTCCAACCTGATGGCCATGCACCTTTAATGGAGCTGGATGATTGCTACCAGGCGAGACACAGCAAGAAATGCAGAATGCCTCCTCAGGTATCAGCAATGCTCAACCTGAATGCCCCCTAATCCAGCACTGATCCATTCTGTAAGCACTGTCCTTCAACCCACAAGTCCAAACAAGGCCCCTGGGAGATGGTGAGTCTACTAGAGCTGGAGATGCATCCTAAAACAATGGAGAATGCCATGCGGCTTGGGGGCTAGAAAGCTAAAGCTTAAAACACAGACATACTGAGGACACAAACAAGCAGACTGAGGCACCAGCATATGGACATCCTCACACATGAACACACAAACACACACACACACACACACACACGTTTGTATCCATATCTTTGTGGGACCCATTCATTAATTTCTGTGGGTGAAACCTTAGTCCCAACAATGGCAACCTTAACCATAAGTAGCCAAACAAAATATAAGACTTTTGACATTTTTAGTTTTTTGATTGCAGTCACAGATTTTTATAAAATTGAGTTTACCCCAAATAACTTGTCCTCACAACATCAAAATATCAGGTTATCTGGTCCTCACAATGAAGCACATGCATAACCACTCCCCCCCCCACACACACGCAAACCTGTCTCAGACAGTTGAACATATTATACCAGTCCAAATATGGCACCTTGCATTCCTCTACCATGTCATGCCTGTAAAATACCTCATTATTTCCAGCCGCCTGTTTACCTCCAGGACACACTCTCTAAAGGCAGCTCCAGGCTTGGCTCATGTCCCAGTAATACA